ACGCTTGGAGGAACACGGCGATGTTACCGGTTCGGAAAACTGTAATACCTATTTAATAATATTATGACGTATAGGTCAGTACTGTACTGCAGTACTGCACGAATGCTGACTGATAACTGATAAGTATACCGACTTGCAATGGCGACAACCGACATATTGTTAAATATATTTGAAATACCTACGTATTATTATTAAAATAATATTATAGATTATATAAAATGTTGTATAGGTACCTAATCCGAGATAATACTTTGTATTTAAAAATATTAAATACAAAATTATTTTAAACAAGGTCTTTTGACTACGTTTTTTCCCCAGAAGTAGCTTACCATGGACGGTACGACGACGTACGATAATTAAATGTTGCTACTTGCTATCGACTTATTAAATGGTAAATATTTGACAAACATAATATTAAGGTTAAAATAATTGTTTCCTTTAAACTTATTTGACTATTTTTAATATCGTTTCATTAGAGCTCGACAGCCTCGACACGACGACAGTACGACACCAACACCCACAGCATATTAAACATGTTCAGTGTTCACTATATACAATAATATAAAGAGAATATTATTCTCTATTGCAATTTCGTCGCCGTACACCCGACGTTAAGACCATGTAACCAGAAAGACGCTGACAAGTGACAGTGCCTAAACGCTGTTTTTAAACGATTAAAGACGCTCTAATAGTTTAATATAGCAGTCTAAGTAGGTATGTATAACAACGAAAGGATAAATTTATTTATTCTGCAGTAGGATACCTATTTATAATATTCATTAATACATTTTAAAATAATAAATGGCTGCGTTTAGTTGTAAGTACACTACCTACATATTATTGTTATGAATTATTTAATTTTTGTTCAAAGACTTGTACTGCTGATTAACAAGCTCCAATAAATCGTCGCAAGTACCTATTTGGAATAAGTTATTCTGAATTTAGATTTTTAATTTGGTAATTGTAATGAAATAACTAATGTCCCGTGGGGTTAAAGTCTCCTTAGATAGTTAGATCCCAAGATGATACAAACTGTATAGTACCAAATTAAGAAGTAAAGAACAGATATTTACCTAGTTAGGTAATATAGGTAATATTATTCTTTTACAGTTTTACCTATAAAGAAATTATATGTATTTATTTATACAATGTAAAATTATTTATCTTATACTTAAGCATACTAATATATTTTCATATTGCAACAATTTAACTATTAAGTTTGTTCAGTTTACGGTCAATGGCAGATCCGGGGCTCAATTATTTTTTTGGGGGAGGAAGTAGAAAAATTGGGTAAGTACAGTGTGAAATACAAGGTAACTATGGTAGGTACCTATGGAACCGCCACATTTTACACTAGGTATTATAATTGACATTAAACTTGATTATAAAAAGTGGTTGAATCATATATTTTATGATAGCAACATAATGTGCCCAATATAATAATCTGTACAGGTATTTTTCTATTTAAACTTTAACTAAAATTTTAATATTCCAAAAGTACATATATCAATATATGTATGTTATTAATAAAGCTACAAATATTTGTTAAGTTAATTAATAATTATTTAGGTATTTATGTATAAATAAATATATTAGTTGGATTACTTTCTATTTTACATATATTTTAGTTGATTTTACTTAACCAATACAAACATACAAATGAATAAATATATATATATATATTTTAAAGGTTTTAAGTTCATCTAAGATGAATTCAGTCGTTGATTGTCGTTGTCCATTCTTAAGTGGTGTTATGTGAGAGGTGAAAGATCACAGACACCAAATGTGAAATTTACTATACACTAGATATTAGATTTTATACTACAATGAAATACTAATATAAGTTGCATTCTGTCACTCATATGATGGATGGTCATCGTCATGGACTTGGTTATGCATAAAATATCACCAAGGCTGGTACAACTGTCTCCGTCCCCCATCTCACATGTGATCGGGTAAGATGTGAGAGTCAACCTAGGCATGCTGTTTTTTTTCTTAATACCGCAATTACCATTTCTTCTCATTGTTTTATCGTTTTTGCCATCTCTTCTGGATGCTCTGCTCCTCCATCAAACTTAGGTGTTGAAGTTGACTGTCACGCCATCGTTTTCTCTGTTGAACCAGGGGTCTCTTTTTGTCCGGTTTCTGTGAAGTTATTTTATTTAATAGTTTTCCTTCAGAGCGTCTGACATGTTCTGCCCATCCGATTCTTCTGATCTTCATTACTGCCACTATGTCTGGTTTATTGTATCAATTATTCAAGTCCTCATTAGTTCTGAACTCATATTCATTGGTTTCCTCATTCTTTTTGGGACTAAATATTCATCTTAGTACTTTCCTATTCAAAAATGTTATTGAAGGGTATTTCTCACATGGGTTCAATGCATCTGGCCTAATAAGTACTTTATACATTGTTATTTTTGAAAGATATTTTGATTTTAACAGTGATTTTAGCATTCCAAAACATCTATTAGATGCAGTTACTCTTTTTTGTACTTCATCTTGTCCTCCATTGGTTGTGTACTCCAAGGTGCTTAAAAGTTTCAAATCTCATTAGTCCTACCACTAATTTTGTTTGATTGTGGATTCATGATATCATCTGCTCATGCTTATTTCAGTATTTTCATGGATTTCAACCCCTGTGTTGGATCCTGGGACAGCTCTTACTACAGACTCAATTGCTATATTTAATAGCAATATTGTGCTGTTAGTATCTAAAAATGACGGTTGATAGAAACAAGCGTTGTTGGTACTCTGCAATGTTACTAGCCTAAATATACTTCTATATCGTCCGAATTTAGTTAAATTAATAACTACGAATTTGCTTTGATAAATTAAAGAATAAGTTGAATTTGATTGAATGTGTATCTACAATGGTAGATGATTGGTCTACATTTCGAAAGTATAATTTTTAATATTAATTACTGTGTGCTCAGTATGCATATTAATAAATATTACTTATGTTATTTTTTTTTCTAAATATATGATAGGTACTATTTAATTTGAATGCTAATAATATTTGTCATCCATAAAACCTTTGAAAAGTAAACATACTTAAGATGTATTGGCTAGAGCAATTGAACCAGTTTTCCTTTTTCAAGGTTATGGTCAAAAAAATTATGTTGATATTATAACAACACAAAATAATATCACTATTTTAAGTAATAGATAAAAACTAGAAGATTTGGTCGTGATGTCTTATGCGATCTATCCAAAAGTAGTATTGAATTATAAGGTACCATTTAGTTTTTTTAAATTACAAAATATGTTTTTATGCATAATATTTAAATTTAATCTTTAACACTTATATAAAATCACTAGCATATAATTAATGAATTCACATATTATTATTTTTTTTTCCCTATAATTTTTGTTTTCAAGTCCAAGATAGTCGTCAAATATTGTATCCATGATAATGAATGAAGTGTTCTCCACCACTCTGCTATCAATTACCTTTCAAGTAAACTCCATTTACTTATTTACCTATATTGTATTTTTTTCCACGATACGCCAAAGAACTAGATAGACCGAGTATGTGCAGTTCCTGTACTTGGATCAAGAAAATATTGGCCATGATTCACTGTTTATGGGTAAGCCCGTGATAATTGAATGTGCCGTATGCCCTTCATTGGTCACTATGAATTGTAGCTCCCTGTTCAACATTTCTTTGAATAATTGGAAAATATGTTTTTCAGCTATGAAATAATATTTACGTTCCAAAACGGCATTGTGGTGCCCGCATTGACCAAATACCCATGATCCCTGATGTCTGAACCCCCTGAAAACTACTAGTATATTATTAAAAAAAAATTGTTTTATTTTACTTTTTGTAGAAGCTATGTAATGTTGATGTTGTAACGCTTAAATAGAAAATGTAGTAGCTAAAAATGTATTTTTCGTTTAAATAAACATGAAGATGTTGAGTTGGAAGATTTGAAGAAACTATTATTAGATAAATCTGTCTATCCCAATTTGTACTCACTATTACAAGTAGCATTATCCATTCCTGTAAGTTCTACTACGTGTGAACGGTCGTTCTCAGCAATGAGAAGAATTAAAACATGGCTTAGAACTTCTATGCACCAAATCTCTCTTTAATACACATATAAAGAAATATATTCAAATACAATTAGTAGGTTAGAAAAAGCGGTAAAAACAGCCCACCTTCACTCTAGAACGTTGCTCTGTTTCAGATTTTTGTTCATCATTGGCGAGATCAGAGAAATTTTTAACCTAAAAAGTTTTCCAATCTCGTTTAGTCGAATGATGAGCTAAAATCGGATATGGTGCAAAATTCTACAGTTGAGGTGAACGCCACTCTTGCCGCGATGCCACCAGTATTTTAGTAGGCCGTACAGTAGACGCTAACCTCAAATTCTAATGTAGGCAGTACACTCCACTTCACCCCACCACCTGTTGATTGTGTTCGGTGACGTGTCATGGCGAGAGCTCCGTGACCAGATTCGATCAGCAACGTGGTCTTTTTCCTCGATTTTCGTCAAAATTATCAGGGGAGGGAAAGAACCCCTCTTGTTGCAACAAACGTACCTGCTCCTCAGAAAGTCCTTTGGTATTTTGGTTGTGTTGCCATACTCCAATACTACAATCACGTGACGATATCCTTGGAACCGATGCGTTTGTCATCCGTATTCCTTCTAACTAATATACTTCTAAAAATGTTGTCGTCCTTGGTTACCGTCACCACCAATCATCAAGATTCAATGGAAATCTTTCGGGTACGTCAGATGGTTCGGTAAAAACTGCCCACCTTCACTGTAGAACGTCGCTCTATTTCAGATTTTTGTTCATCATTTGCGAGACCAGAGAAATTTTTAACCTAAAAAGTTTTCCAATCTCGTTTAGTCGAATTATGAGCTAAAATCGGATATGGTGCAAAATTCTACAGTGGAGGTGAACGCCGCTCTCGCCGCAGTATTACATATTATGGCCGATGGCGGACGTATATACGGTTGTAAACAGTACACTAATACACGTCTACACTAGTACGCTCTTTCTATTACCGGACGACGGCGGCCGGTAGACGGTTCACTCTCCATTCTCGTCTGGCCAGCCCCACCACCATTATTATAATTGGTGACGTGGCACGACGTGTCTACGTGTCCCGTTCCGACCAATAACGTGGCAACAGTAATGTACAACATCACAACACTGTCGGCATAATGTATTTCAACGTATTGTACTTCAACTGTGGTACTACTTTTATCCTCCATGAAATTTCAACTTATTTTCCCGAAACCATTGAAGATTCCTTGCCGAAATGTTATGAAAAGCTACGTGACCAATATGACGTCCCTACCGTGCTAATCATGGATACCTGGTATCCCGCTAGGATTTACCCATTGTGATATCTCCTGAGATAATAAATATATCTTAAATCTGTTTTTTTTTTTTTTAAAAGACTCACGGAGACAAGGACCACACATATTTTGGTAAAAAAATTAAAAAGTTAATTTTTAATTTTTTTTTGAAACAATTGAAGATAGCCATTCTATAGAGTTAATTTTTGTGAAAATTTTGTCTTTTCAACATTTTATTTACATTAATCTCATAATTTTTAATAGTTTTTTAGTTTATAGGTAAAACAGCAAAAAACCGGTTTCTGTCCGGCGGCGAGTGCCCCCTCTGTGCCTAATTTTGATACCCTCACTGGACACCTTGTATATAAAAGTAGATAGCCGTTTTTATACTACAGCTGTGACCAATGTTGAAGTCAGCCACCATTTATAAAGCAAGCAATGCTTATATTTATTCATATACATATTATACACCAAGGTGTATAAATAGGCAATACCACAGATATATACTAATAATGAAATATAAGCACATGTACATGTATAAATGCGTAATCGTAAGAGCTATAAAATCTAAAGAGGGGTATGGTTCAAATAATGCGTACCTATATTTTCCAAAAAACGCAAAAAACATGAATAATTCCTAACTACACGGGTTAAAGTTGCAACCCTAGCGTACTTATCTTTAGTACCTATATAATATATTAGTAACTATAATATTATTAATATTGTACAATTTTGATTTAAGAATTGAATTGATTTTATAATAAGAAGAGCTTATAAACTTGATTTAAATAGACTGACACACAATATTTTAATATATAGTAGTACCATAGTTACGGTAGTTACATTTTGTACAATAAAATATCATGTTTACCTATACCTACTTCAGCCAAAATTAGTTTATTGCCAACGTTTTGTTAAATGGTTGAAAATTCACATAAATAAGTAAGTAGCAGATAGGTATTCTTTTTTAAATTAAAAGAACCTACATTTAAGTAACATATGAATCTGTGTATCTTCATCTCTCAATTCTCATACAATAAAATTCCACTCCGTAAAACCAAAACAATGATTTTTATTTAAACATTTAAGTAGGTAGATAGTAGGTTAAATACAATAGGTATGTACTTTATTTTTTATTTATTTCACCATCTGCAAGTAAAGGAGAGTTCAAAGGATATTTTAAAATATTACTCTCTTCTTTATAAATTTAATTTTTTAATTAATTATTGTTGAAAGGAGGTTATAATATGGATCGACAAAAGATAAAATATACAACACAATTTAGTTATAGTAAGAATACGTAATATTTCACTAAAACTAAAACACATAACTAAGTATGAAAAGTAATTTGACTTCTAACAATGTAAGTACTATGTTTACGAGATATACATGACATACACATAAGTAATACCTAAAATGCAGTGCCTACAGTACACAACTAAACAATCTTATATACTAATGATCTACTGACCCCTGGCTCACGCCACTTTACAAGCTTGCTTATTGGCTAATACAATATCACGCCATATGTGGTGTGATTTATCAGATTCTAATAACAGCTATATTTTGTTATACACAATATGATTATACTACTAATACAATATTAAATTATATTCAACACACCCCCGTAATTAATATTTTATATAAACAAGAAAAATTAAAGTAATTTCAACACTGATAATTTTTGCCTTAATTTTTCAAACCTATCCTTCGGAAGTGGCTTAGTAAATATGTCTGCATATTGTTCTTCTGTTTCAACGTACTATAATCGAAATAATTTTTCTTCAAACTTTTCCCTGATGAAATGATACCTGACGTCGATGTGTTTAGTTCTCTTGTGAAACTCTGGATTTTTCACAAGTCGAATTGCACTCTGATTGTCCACATACAATGTCGGTTGTCCACCCGTTGTACTGGTGCAGATTTCTTTTACCAATCTGTCAATCCAAATCAATCCTTTGATTGTTTCACACGCCGAGATATATTCTGCTTCAGTTGAACTTAGTGTTACTATGGGTTGCCTTTGCGCTTGCCATGATACCGTAGATACTCCTAGCATGAACACATGACCAGAAGTTGAACGTCTTGTCTCTGAATCTCCTGCATAATCTGAGTCTGAAAATACGCTTAAACACAAATTTACGTTAGATTTGTAACATAAACCAAATGTTGTTGTTCCTTTTACATAACGAATTATTCGCTTTACCATGGTCCAATGTACCGACGTTGGATTATTTAAAAACCTACTAACATAGTTAACAGCGAATGCTATATCTGGCCTCGTGACTTGAGATAAGAATAATAAGTTTCCCACAGCCTGCCTGTATGGAAATTGATTATCACTCGTTGTTAATTTCTGTTCTATAGTATGTGACCTATCAATTGGTGTAGATAACTCCTTCGCATCTAATAAATTAAATTTACTAATAATCGAATTAGCGTAATTTGTCTGGTGTATACATATTGATCCGTCAGTACATCTAGTTATTTCCATACCTAGAAAATAATCTAAATTACCCTGTGTTATCTCAAACTGTTGTTCAAGACCTTGCAACAATTCATTTGTTTTTTATTATGCTACTCGACGCTATCAAACCATCATCAACGAAAATAGCTAAAATTAATGTTTCATTATTATAATGATTAAAATAAATACATGGATCCGATGCACTTTGTTCTAGTTTGAACTCTAATAGAAATTGCTTAAATCTATTATTCCAACACCTTGGCGATTGTTTCAACCCATACAAACTTTTATTTAGTTTGCATACTCGTTCTGTTGAATCTTCGAATCCAATAGGTTGTCTCATATATATGTCTTCCTCTAGATTACCATATAAAAATGCCGTTTTTATATCAAATTGTTTTAAATCGTAATTTTCTGCTGCTGCAACGGCTAAAATTGTTCTTATTGATTCATACCTTACTACTGGCGAAAACGTTTCTGTATAATCAATACCATATTTTTGTCTTGATCCATTAATGACTAACCTAGCCTTAAAACGATCATTATGTTTTATTTTATAAACCCATGAGTTGTTTATAACATTTGCTCCCACCGGCTTTGATACCAAAGTCCACGTTTCATTATCACCTAATGATTTAATTTCATCGTTCATCGCTTCTACCCAATTAGTTGCGTTATTGCACGAAATGGCTTCTTTGTATGTTAATGGCTCAGTTTCTACATACTTGGTAACGAATGATTGTGCAACATACCTGTCTGGTGGTTTTAATTTTGTTCTATCACGTAGTTGCATATTTGGATGTTCTTGTTGACTTTCTGTGTCGTTTTCCACTGGTTCTGATTTTATCTCATGAACCTGTTGTTGATTTTCATCATACACTACTACTTGTTGATTTATTTCGTTTTTAAAAATAACATCTCTAAAAATACTTATATTAGTTGTACCTGGAAACCATACTCTGTAACCTTTGGTATTATTGCTATAACCAACAAAAATGCCCTTTTTGCTTTTTGCATCCCACTTTTGTCTTTTCTCTTTTGGAATATGAGTGAATACTTCAGTTCCAAATATTCTTAAATGACTTATTTTTGGATCCTTGTTAAAATAAAGCTCATACGGTGTTTTACCTTTAATTGAACTTGTACCAGTTAAATTCAGTGTATACACAACTGTATTAACACTTTCTGCCCATAATGATATATCCAATTGCTTTGAATGTATTATTGTTCTTGCAGCTTCTACTATTGTCCGATTATCTCGTTCAATTTTTCCGTTTTGTTCTGGAGTGTACGGAACTGTTGTCTGATGACTAATTCCGTATTTCTGCAAAATACTAGTTATCTCATTATTAACAAATTCCAAACCGTTGTCAGTTCTTAAAACTTTTACTTTATATCCTGTATCAGTTTTAACTTTTTGTATAACCGTCCCGATTATATTTTTAACCTCATTTTTATGTTTCAGAAAATACACCATCCTATAATGTGTATAATCATCTTTTATTAATAGGAAATACTTTGACCCACCGATTGAATCTTTCTGCATCGGTCCACACAAATCTGCGTGTATTATTTCCCCTACTTTGTCACTACTTGTCGTACTTGGTTTAAACGAAAATTTATGTTGTTTACCCAACATACAAGAATCACAAAAAAATGTATTGTCCTTATCAGAAATCGTAATATTATGGTTTTTTAAACAATTAATTACGTACTGTATATTCTGATGTCCTAACCTTTCATGCCATAATCGCAACGAATCTTTAATCGCAATATTTACATGATGCGTAGTATTATCTAATACTTCGACTTTGAACTGCAATTGAAATAATTTTTCTTTTCTCTCAGCTACACATACAATTTTATTGTTTCTAGTAAATACACATTTATGTTTATCACTAATCATTTTAAGTCCTTTATCTAAAGCTGAACCGCATGAAAATAAATTATATTTTAATTCCGGCACGTGTAACACATTTAAAAGATAATTTTTATTCCAATTACCTTTAACATACGACCAAATTAATATTTTACCTGTACCGATTGCGTACATACTTGATCCGTTCCCGATTTTGACTTGAGTCGGATTTTCTAATTTTTCGTAATCTCGAAACCAATCATAATTTGCACACATATGATCTGATGCACCTGAGTCCAATATCCATTGTTCATCATCTTTGATTGATACCAATGTCGACTCACTTATAAATGTGTTGTCGTCTTTATCCGACGATTGTCCTTGATTTTCAAGAAAACTCCTGCATTCCCTCTTGATATGCCCAACTTTTCCACAGTAAAAACATGGACCTATTTTTTTAGTATTACTTGAACTACTAAAATTGTTTTTACCTTTTTTCTGACTACCATTTTTCCAGCTCGACTTATTTTGAGATTTTGTAGTAAATGCACTAGATTTTTCAACATCAATATTACACTTATTGCTTTG